AGGAAAGACAAACCCCATAAAACATCCCAGACAGCTGCCAGTATTTAATGTAACTGCCTGGGAGAAGAGAAATACAGAAACATTTCATACAATGATCCAAGTTATGATCTTTTACCATCCAAAGACAAGGTAGTGAAGGTGCTGTTGGTGATCTCTCCTAAATAAATGGGCTGATTTCAGAAAAATAGCAATGAATTGATCAAATTCTTTGCACTCTACAAAGATTTTCTTTAAAACCTTTCAGAATCTTCTCTGTGGGGGAATCACATTACAGGGGCTGTTTTCATGCAAAAACTATGCATGTCATTTATCAATCACACAATGAATCAATCAGACACTGGATATGTAGTGCTATCTCCAGGCATTAAAGCTGGAAGTGAAACACCACAAGCTTCACAAGAGCTGTGTCAGGAGATAAGGCTGGCTTAGATCAGCTCAGAGCTAGCACTGCACTCCAACTCCAGCCCAAACCTGGGATTAATACTGCCCAGAGCTCTGTGGTGGTGCTTACTTAGAGAAAATGGGAGAGGAAAATGAGCAGGAATTTGTGTGCAGCTGCCTGCAAATTTTCCTGCAAATCTGCCAGCCCCACTTGCAGCTCTGCCTGCATCCCTGCTCCCTTTCCAGCTGCTCTGCTCCCCTTCCAGCCCTGCTCCTTTTCCAGCCCTTCCTGCCATGGGCAGTGCTGTCTGCACTCCCCAGGTTTGTCTGGGCTCAGTCCTGTGACACGGGAGGGCAGCACCAAGCTCAGGAAATTCAGGAAGGGCTGAAAACACTTCCCACTAAGGGGCTGTGCTGGCTTGAGTGAAACTTTGCTATGAAATAAAAGCAGGGTTTGCTCTTTGGAAAACCTTTGCTATGAAATAAAAGCAGGGTTTGCTCTTTGGGAAAAGAAAGCAGAGTTTGCTCTTTGGGAAACCTTTGCTATGAAGTGAAAGGAGGGTTTGCTCTTTGTGAAGCCTTTGCTATGAAATAAACACAGGGTTTACTCTTTGGAAAACCTTTGCTATGAGATAAACACAGGGTTTACTCTTTGGGAAGCCTTTGCTATGAAATAAACACAGGGTTTACTCTTTGGGAAGCCTTTGCTATGAAATAAACACAGGGTTTACTCTTTGGGAAACTTTTGCTATGAAATAAAAGCAGGGTTTTGCTCTGCTGTCCCACCAGTGAGGCTCTCATGGGCTCAGGGGTATTGTGGGGGTGTAAACCAAGATGTCACAGGAGATAAAAAGGGTTGGCATGTTGGAGCTTGGGGAGGAAGCACTTTTCTTCCAGTCCACAGCATTTCTTGTCCTGCAGCCCAGGGTGGGCACCATCCTCCCTGGCACAGGTCTGTGCCCTGTACATTTCCAGCTCAGCACCACCAATCAGGCTCAGAACTCTGGCACTCAGTGGGGCTGGTGAGCACATGAGCTCCATCCTGGGGGGACAATGTGGCAGCTGGAAACAGGAGATGAGGATGGAGCCTGATTCCATGTGCCTTCACCTCCCTGCCTGCAGAAGCCCCTCCTGCAGGCACAAGGACATCCTGGGGCAGCACAGCAAGGTGTGAGGCACCTGAGGATTTGGTTCTGCTGCAGCTGAGCCATGGCTCAGCCTCTCTCCTCCCCAAGGGCAATAAAAGCACTGGTCCCTAATGAGTCATTTTTCATTCCATTTGCTCTGTGTTTATTTTTGCCTCTCACCTTCTGATCCAACTCTCACATTACTAAAATCAGAGGGTTGCTTTTATTACCTCATTTGGACACTGATCTTACAATTTGGATGAACCAGCTCACCCTTGTAATAGGAAAGATGAGACCATTGCTGGTTATATCCCCATTTTTAGGGGGGCTGCTATAAAAGCTGAAGAGGAGTGGGGAAAGAAGAAACCTCAGGCTGTTCTTTCCCTTTGCCATCCCTTGAGCTCACCTCGGTCATTCTGGGCTGAAATTCAAAAGAGCAAAAGCAGCAAAGTGCCTCAATTTCAGCTCCCTCCAGAGGGAGCAGCACTGTAGCAGGAAAATCCAGCTCTGCTTGTGGGGAAGATGAAATTCCCCATCTGCCTTTGCAGAAAAAACCTGCAAAAATCCAGTGGGAAACAGCCTCTGGCACTGGCAGAGATGTGTGTGCCCATCCCACCCTTCGTGTGCTCCTCAAAACAGCTTCAGGTTGTTGTGGTGAAATGGGATATTACAAGATAACAGTGTGTACAGCTGAGAGACAACTTCACATCCAGATCATCCAGCAAAACAGGGATCTGCCTCCAAAATCCAGAGCAGGAATGCAGACACCACCAAACAAACATAAGCACCTTTAAATGATGCTGGCTATTGTTGAACAATAACAACTGAGTTCATTAGATAGCTACACAGATCAAACTGAACTTAAATTAACCTTGAAAAAAGGGGGAATCAGCACATTTCTCCTGTGTACAGCACCAGCAGTCGTGTGCTGTTGCTTCACTCTCTGTTTCATTGTTACAGACAATTTTTGTAAAGCATCCACAGCTTTTCAAACAAAGTGGAAGCCAAAAGATTGATAAGGACCTTGCTGGGCTGTGCTGCAGAAGGTCTCCTTGCAGACACATGGTCTTTAGTACTTCAAAAAGGAAGGCAATAACTCATTTTCCTCTGTAGAAGTGAACCCTTTTGATGAGCCCTGCTCCCAGCTTGGGTCTGTGTGGGAGCAGAGGGAAGTCAGGAGGGAAACCATCACTTAGTGCTGCCACAGCACCAAGTGCTTGCCTGCAGCACTAAATCAGAGACACAACACGCTCTGCCTGACTTCCCAAAGGGGTCTGGGCAGGTGGAATCTCCTTCCCCCTCCCCAAAGTCCTGCCAGGCCCCAGCTGAGCTGCCATCAGCCTTTACACCTCGTTACCTGTGCAAACCCCGAGACCTGGGATATTTCTCTGTCTGCTCTGGGGTGCCCTGACCCCCAGGGCAGCACTGACTTTGACCCTCATTCATGGAGAAACTTTCCTAAACTCCAGAATAGACTGGAATCCACAAAAGTGTGAAATAGATTATAGAGAGTAGTGTAGGTGTATCACTTGGTGAGAAATTGAGGTTTTGGGATTTTTAGTATGTTGTGGATGGAAGCAAGATGGAGGGCACAGGGTGTCATCCAGGGTTTCTTCTTCATGCTTCTTCTTCCTCCTTCTCCATGGGTTTGGGTGGCATTTTGTAATTGGGTGGAAAAGTCTGCATTGCAGCTCTTTGGGATCAGTTATTGGGTTAAAAGGGAAATAATCTGGGTGTCTGTTCCTAATTGGATAGTTTAGCTTTAAAAACCCTTGTACCAGGAGATTGTTGGCCATTTTTGTGGTGCTTTTCCAGTGTGCTGAGCCTTGTGTGGACAGCATGCAAAACTCTAGATAAGATAACATTAAACAACTACCTGAAGACTGAAAAGATCCAGTGCATCTCTTTCCTGATACAAAAACACTTCAGGAGAGTCAGGGGAGCCCCCTGGGAGGGCCCAGGCAGAGTCCCAGAATTTGGGGAATAAGCAACAGGTACCCAACAGTTCCCACAGAAGTGCTGAGCAGCACAAGGCACCAGAGGGGCAGTGATGGCAGGACAGACAGGACAGACAGGACAGGCGGGACAGGCAGGACAGACAGGATAGGCAGGACAAACAGGACAGGCAGGACAGACAGGATAGGCAGGACAGACACAGGACAGGCAGGACAGACAGGACAGGCAGGACAGGCAGGACAGACAGGACAGACACAGGACAGGCAGGACAGACAGGATAGGCAGGACAAACAGGACAGGCAGGACAGACAGGACAGACACAGGACAGGCAAGACAGACACAGGACAGGCAGGACAGACAGGACAGGCGGGACAGACAGGACAGACACAGGACAGACACAGGACAGACAGGACAGGCGGGACAGCCTCTGTTTGTCCTTTTCCAGGCAGCCACACACAGAAAATCCTGGACAGCAAAGCAAGGTCCAGCCTGGGAGGGAAGGGCTGATTCACGTCTCTCTGAGGCCAGGCCTGTGGCTCATCTGCACTCAGGACAGCACACACAGGGGTCCCTCTGTCCTGTCCCTCTGTCCTGTCCCTCTGTCCTGTCCCTCTGTCCTGCCCTGCCAGAGGACCCCCAGTGCAAGCCCCTGCTCCCTGTGGCCCTTTGCACTCCACCCCTTGTTTCCACTGGAACAATCCTGCTCCCCAGAACTTCATTCCCCCCATATTCCTTCATTTTCCTCCAGTGAAATATAACTGGGAAAGCTTTGAGGAGGCTCCAGACTTCATTTCAGCCCAAACAATTCCCAAATTACCACAATATCATGTACTGGCCTCAAAAACACCACACAACCACTACCTCCCCCCACAAAGGTTTCTCCCTAAATTCTTTTATGTCATTGATAAGCATCAGTTAATGAATAATAACAGCAGTAAATGCCTTAAAGGGACCAAAGCATGATAAGTAGCAGCCAGGAGTGGGCTGCCACAGGAGGGACCACAGATCAAAGGGGAATGCTGACTCAGCTGCTTTGCTGCTAGACTGGAACAATTTATCTGAATCCCAGTAGGTAGAAATTAAACTATTTGTAGAAAAAAACCACAAACCAACTTCAAAATGTGAAGGCCTCCCCCTAATATTTGTCTCCACTAAACTATGCATGACAGCCTCCCACCCTTCAGAAAAAGGGATAAAGAAAGCAGGACTGGATTGTACTTGAAGAAATACAGCAGGGCAGAGGGAGGGCAGGTGGGACAGGCAAACAGTGACAAATAAACATGATGGCAACACTTGGCAAGGTGTTTCTGAGGTCTGAGCAGGATTTTGAAGGAACTGGGCTGAGGCAGGGATGCAGCCATGTGGGAAGGGGAAGGAACAGGGTCAGAAGCAAACAGTGCCTCATGTTCTGGGGCACAGTCACTGCCATGGAGAGAGGAGAGGCACTGATCAATCCAGGACTGCCAACTCGATGCGTTTTTCAGCAGAAACTCTTGGAAATGTTGGTGGAACAGGAGAATAAAGGCAGCTCCTTACCTTGGCCTCCAGAGTGTTCAGCCTCTCGCTCATGTCAGCCAGTCTGGTGCAGTTCATGCATTCTAGAGAGAACAAAACACACTCATGTCACAGAGAAAACAAAACACAGCCATGTCACACTGCCAGCTGCTCTGTGTGCTCACACACAGCTCCAGGCTGATCCCTTTATCCAGTGATCATGGAAAAGTCAGTCAAGATCAGTCATGAGGCAAAATAAATATCCAAATCCAGTGCACAGCTCACAGCCACAGCCACGTTACATGAACCTTGTTTGGGGATGTTCAGTGGGGCAGAGTGTGAAATGAAGGTCCCAAAATGCAGAAGGTAGATGAAATAAAAATCAGTTTTAAGATTTTTCATGCTGCCAACCAGCATGGCCTGCTGTCATAGGCAGAGACACTTGTCCTGGCACTGGTGCACGCTGGTGTGGTGTTGCAGACAACTTTTATGAAAAATCCTTTCTTTAGGATTTTTTCTCCTGAGAAGCTGAGAGGCCTCAAGAACAAAATGTAAACATTGATTATCTGCTGCTGTGGAATGCAACAGGTGCATCTGTGATTGGTCTTATATGGTTGTTTCTAATTAATGACCAATCACAGTCAGCTGGTTCAGACTCTCTGTCCGAGACGCAAGCCTTTGTTATTCCTTCCACTCCTTTTCTATTCTTAGCTAGCCTTTTGATTAAATCCTTTCTTCTATTCTTTTAGTGTAGTTTTAATGTAATATATATAATAAAATAATCAATCAAGCCTTCTGAAACATGGAGTCAGATCCTCATCTCCTCCCTCATCCTCAGACCCCTGTGAACACCATGACAGAAGTATTTAACTCTGCTGCTTCCACAGGGCTGGGAATGTTGTCCTGTAGTCCCTGAGCCCCTACAGACTGCTCAGGTGCACCTGAGGCTTCAGGGATGCAGAGGATGGAGGGGAAACTCAAAGGTTCCCTATGGCAAGGAATGGGTGAACATGGATTCTGCCCCGAGGGAACACCCCAATATTTGAGCTCTGCTGCTCCCCCTAACAAGATTTGCCCCCTGTTTCACAAGGCCCCCAAGGGACCTCTCCAGTCTCCATCCCCAGTCTCTTGCTGGCTTTGTGGAGCACATTGCCTGCCCTGGTGGCTCCCAGCCACACAAAGATTTGAGTGCATGGCTTGGAAGAACAGGAAGCTGGGCTGTTCCACCCCGGTGATTTACAGGCTAAAAAGATTGTTTGAGTGCTAACAGCAACCCACTGCATCCACTTTGCAAAGGAATTCTCACACTGGCCCTCTGTGAGGAGCTGTGTAGCTTCCCAAAGGAGCCAGACATAGATTTTCCACCTCATAATATACAACATTTTGCAGAAAAAGCATCTGATGCTTCAGGAACACTCAGATGGAGGGATTTCCTCACAGGTCAATACTGACATGGACTTTCTTTTATTTTTATTTTCTGCAATAGATCTTGGGCAATCTCTTTTGGCTTGAATTGACCCATGAACATGCAAGTGCCATAAGTGCACTGTCCTCTGGGGAAGGAAATGGGTGAGGTTTGTTTGGTCTGGATCTGCTTGTGGTGTGTGAAACAGGGAATTGGTTCCTGTATGGAACTGGCTTCAGGCTTTTGATCTTGCTCATCCCCACAGAAAGATAAGAGTGAATAAATCCAGTGCTCCCAGGAGCCAAGAGAGGCACCAGATGTGTTACAGAGCAAATAAAACACAGAGTCCTCTTCTCACTTCTGCTGGCTTGCACATATTAGTTAACTCCCACAGGTTTAGAGAAACTGACTTGAACTGCCTGGAAACCATCTCTGAGATGAACTGAGCACTTCAGGTCCCTCTGGAGAGCTGAGCTCATTAAAATGGGGTTTGTGCCACTCCTGTGTACAGGTGAATCAACCAGCTCCCCAGGGGAAGGACAGGCTTCAGAACCAGCACCAGTCCAGCAGCTCTCTCTGCTCTTGAAGAGCATCTCAAAGAGCCCCCTCAGGTGCATTTGCAACAGCAAAGGTTTGATTGAAATGGACAAAGTGACAGAAGAGGAGAGAAACCAGCAGTGTCACTGCATGTGATATTTGTACTAATATGGTCTTCATGTCAGTGCTGTTGAAACAGGCAGAAAACACAGCCTGGGTCAGAAACAGAACTACTTAAGTTCAGGCTGGATTTGATCTTTGATCCTTTCTGTTGTGAAATGCCTGGAAACACAGATCCACACCCAAGGTACTTAGACTGGGCCCAAAAGACATTTAAATAATCCAGAAAGTGGATATCCTCATGCAAAAGACCTTACTAAGGCAAGAGTCCTGCCAACAAATCCATGTGACATTTATTTATCTGACCAACAGGCAGACAAGGCTTTGGAAGGCAGAGATGAATGCTCAGGGCTGCAGAACTCTTCAGGGGCTGGAATCCACAGCTGTCCTTGCAGGAACACTGAGAACGGTGGTGACAAATCGAGCTAATAAATATCTTCCCTAAGCACGATGCTCTGAAGTATTTAGTGTCTGATCTTGATGGCTGCTGGTTCCAAGGCCTGAGACTGTGAAGCTGAATTTTCTGATCAGGGTGGAAGCAATCTGTGTTACTTAGAAGAGCTTGAGAATCTCACATCATTATTTCTCATGGAACAAATATAACACTGGGGCAAATGCACACACTCTCTGACCTGGGACTGCAGACCAGACGCTTTCCATATCTGCAGAAATCCATCACTTGTTGCTACACAGAACCACAGTTTATTTCTCTTCTATTCCTAGTTGGCAGATTTGTATTTTTCCAGCAAAACCCTGAGAAAGGAGTTGTGATTTCACTCTATGAATCCCAACCTCAAAACACATGGTAGGATTTGTTTTAGAAATATTCCAGCAGGGAGGATAAATAATTGAGATAATGAACATGAGACAGTACCAGCATATCCTGTGACACCCAGTCTGTCTCCACAACAGACTGTCCCAGCACATCTCTCCCTTCCCATTCCTCCTTTCAGCTGGAATGCAACTGCAGGGATGGAAAATTGTAATGCAGAGAAGAGATGGAAGACCTCACATGCTGGAAAATAACAACCCAGGTACTCTGTACCAGCTGTGACCCCCTTAACCCTGACACAAAAGTTGATATTTCAACCCATCTTTGATTAAAGATCAGCCTCCAGTGCTGCAGCTTTGCCAACAGGAGATGATCTGAGCACTCCAGATCTGATCTGAGCTTCCAGTCTGGATACACCCCTGAGAGTGACCTAAAGCAGAGAGTGATGACTTCAGGTTCCTTGTTAACCTGGCACTCCTGCTCTGCATAATTTCATTATTAAATAGTTGCACACTTCACCTTCTCAAGCCTTCAAACTCAATTCCTAACAAGGACAGTGTGGTAACAGCCTGATACCAGCAGGGCTCTGATGATTTCAGCACAGTTATCACAGTGGCACTGAGGGCAGTAAAAGAGGAACCAGCCCAGCTTTCAGCATGGGGCCACAGGTCAGTTTTGTGTGAGAAGGCAAAAAACCTCCTGGCACCTCTGCCCCATTTCTCAGCTCTGACAGCCCACACTCATTTGTACACCCAGAGTCTCTGCAGAATATTAAAAGAGCTTTTGGTTTCCCCACAGCCAGATGCTCAGTAGATATAAATTGCACAGCTCAACTGAAGTCAAGGGATCAAGGCTCTGTCTCTCTTTTTCTTGATGGATTGCTCCAAAATTTGTGTTTCAGAGGGGAGGCAGAGGAGGTGGTTTATAGCATATGAAAGGGGGGAGAATTCTGAAATCACAAAGCCTTTGTTTAAACAAATAAAGTCTTTGCAGCCATTTTTTTTCAAGACCATATTTTACTATTACAAGAAACTTCAACCTTGCAGTGCAATGGGGCATAGCACACAGGCAGGCCCAGGGACTGAGAATCACATCTGCAGCTCATGCTTCAACCTGCTCAGACTCCAAACAAGGCACTTCCCCCCTCCCAGGATCACTTTCCTTTCATCCATTGTTAGCTTAATGTAAATGATCCAAGGTCAAAGGATGAAAGAGGACCAAATGTGACATACATGCAGAGGAACAAATAAAATACTTAATTTTTGTGCCACAACTTGCCTGGCAGCTCTTCCCTCTCCATCTGATCATTGCATGGCCATGCGCAGAGGACAGGCTGGGTGATCCCCAGGGCAGGGCAGCAAACCAGAGCTGCCAACAGCCCATGCTGGAGCTCTGGGAAGGGAACAGCAGCTCCATGGAACTGAACACAACAGCTCTGAGTGTGCAGCAACTGCAGCATCAGCTCCTGCAGCAGCACAGCCACGGCTCTGCCCTGACACATCAGTGACACAGCTGCAAGAACATTTTGTCTGTCAAAGCAAGCAGGAGAGCAGCTTTTCTCAGCAGACACCTTCCCCCAGGACAAGTTCAGAGCAGTCTCTGAGCAAATCTGGAAGAACTCAGCTAAATTCACCCAGTGCACCATGTTTCTTTGCAAAGAGATGAACTCAAAACTCCCAAATAGGAAGCGCCATTAACTCAGTGAGCACCCAGGATCTCATGCACTGATGTTTTATTGGACACTCTTGAGAGAAACCACCAGACCACTGACCCCTCCATCCCTACTGCCCACTGACCCCTCCATCCCTACTGCCACACACATTGGACATTTTAGCCAGAGAAAGAACAGTGACACTTTCTGACACTGCCACAGGAGGAATTTCAAGTCAAATTCCACAACAGAAATATGAACTTCTAGGATCTTCTGTGCCTACCTAGGTGGCCCCAGCTGGGGGACAGCCAGCCTGGGCCTGCATCTCCACCTCTCTTTAATTTGTCTGATTTGACCCTTCCAGCCTTTTTACATGGTTACTGAGTTTCCTTAAGTAGTTTATGTTCTGGCCCTTTGCAAAAGCTTTCGCCAGTGCCTGTGAAGGATAGCAGGCCCAAGCCATAAATCACAGCCAACCTGGGATCTGTTTTTTCAACACATTTCCTCTAATGAGAGTCAGATGTTGGCTAGATAGGCTTTATTAATTGTGCTTGTTTAGAGCAGGCTGTGTGTGACTGGGTTTGAGCATGTGAAAGGCTGAGAGCAGGCAGGGAGGGGA